TTGTTTGAGACCTGTCCTCGCTCACTTCGCACTCGACTCAACATACCCTCCACACACGCACGTAAGCGTAAAAACGGCTGTTAATTTGAACGGAACGAATCATGAAATATCTAAGTCGATGAGGCCACGCAAACCCGCCGGCGCAACAAAACGATTCTTAGACCATGACCGCCGATTCTTTGAACACAGGCGCGCGCGCTGATTCAGGCGGCCATGCTTAGACCTCTGCGCGTTTCGCGGACCTTTCAAGCGAGCTGCCCAACCTGCCTCCTTCCCGCGTGTTTTAGTTTTCAAGCTCGCCTTCCCACAGTATCCTCACCCCCTCTTCACCCTACCGCAACTCCTTGCCCTTCTGTCCCAAATTGGCTCTCCTCTTTTGACACAACTCCTTTGCCCGTCTCCACCGAACCACGACACCAGCCACGCTGACTCGAATTCAGAAGTTTAGTTTTCCGAGAGGCCCAGAGCTGTACCACGCGTTCTGGCATGTGTGTTGTGTGTGCGTGTCTTGCTTGTTTGCGGTGTGCGTGTGTGGTCAGGATGGCGGTTGGGAGACCTTGCAAGCTTTTTCCTGCCGCTCAACAAAACGTCGAAAGTGTGACCGCTTGGCTTGGGTGTAATCCGCGCGTTGGGTGCCGCGTTGCGAAGCGCTTGCCCATAGCTGTTGACCACCTGGCAACCAACATGCCGCTTCGGGCGTCCCGGTATTCAGATGTCGAGATGGTGAATATTTTGTGGGCGGCGGTGACGACTACATGCATGCGAAACTGTTTTCGCGAGGCCGACTTCTTCGACGTCGGGCCCGATGCCGAGCCTGAAGCTTCCGAAAAGGACCACTCCAGCGGCGATTTGTGGCAACGCGTCGTCGACTCCGATCTGGCAGAGGGAGTGGGACATCTCTTGTGATGGTTTAATTACGGCCAATGATGATGCCGACACCACGGAACCGTGCACAGATTAAGGCATTGTGAATTACGTATGCGGCAAGAGTGATTTGGAGGAATCGAACTGCGAGAACGACAAAACTTCGGAGCAAGTGCCTCATACTGCTTATGTCACAGGCCTCGGCGAAGAGTACGCTGCCGTTTGAAATAAACTCGAGACCGCCCTTATCGCTACTGCTCTTTGAAACACGTGCATCACGGACTATTTTGGGCAATAAAGTTTGTGTTTTAACTCGCAACTTTTTTGAAAGCTTTGTTTCACTTACTACAAACCTCGGGATACAGCAAACGGATGCCACGTCAAGCTCGAGATTCTTTATAAGCGGGCTCGACTGTATACAGAAACGATATACCTTCCCATGTATCATCTAACATTCCATTGTTTGTAGACGATTTCGTCCTTTATCGATCTATCATTAACAACAACGACCACATCTGATTGCAGAAAGACATAAATAACATTGAAAACTGCTGTGATCAGTGAATGATGGTCTTGAATACAAATAAATGTAAATCCATGTCGATTTCTCACAGACATAATCATAATCACATTATTTTCACAATTGACAACACCCCCATCGACCATGTCAACTCATACAAGTACGTAGGCATTACAATTACGCATGATCTCCACTGGTGCTCCCATGTGAACATCACTTCATCTGCAAACAAAACTTTAGGATTTTTCAAACGAAACCTCCGCAGTGCTCTTCAACCCTTAAAGCTGCTTGCATATAAAACATTGGTCAGGCCTAAGCTTGAATATCCTTCGCCCATATGAAACCCTTATCAGAACTACCTCAACGACGCCATAGAGTCCGTGCAGAGTCGCGCAGTAAGGTATATTCATTTATTATTCCCATACGACATCAGTGTTTCATCTTTGAAAATAGATTCTGGGTTGGAATCGATGGCTCATCGTTGTCGTATCGTGAGCTTATCATTATATCACAAGTTTTACAACAGTTCACTTCGTCACACACCGTACACTTCTCCTCCTTCACGCATTTCACAGAGCACAGACCATTCATACAATGTTGCTCACGCAAGTGCGTGCACTGTTGCTTGCTCGTCATCATTTTTTCATCGCACAGCCAAAGACTACAATGACCTTCCTCACCACATCACTTCCATTACCACCCCAACTGCTTTCACTGATGCATTAACAAGATTTTTTTTGTGAACAGTCCCTGTAATTTTTTTTTCCTGTTTATGATGTATACCCCACCCCTTATGTAACACCCCTGCAGGGTCTTTAAGGTAAAATAAATGAAATCAAATGGGCTTTCTGGACAATGCCTTTGATGTGAGACAACAACATGTCGTCGAAAGTTGTGTTCAATCCTTCTGTTACAGCACTGTTTTGTGGATGATACCAGCATGTGAAACGATTTGGCATTCAGGTAGGATTGACAAAAACATGTGGGGGTGCTAACACCCCCTGTAAAGTTGTTTGCGCCGCGTGGCGCACATGTCTCGCACAAAAGCCGTAGCTCGGGGGCGACAACCGCCGGACGATAGATGGCGTGTTCGCGTTGAGTACCACTGTTGGTAGAGTGGTAGCGCCGACGATGACTCCTGGCGGAAGGCAGGATTCGGTGGCAGGCGAGAGTTGAGTGAGTCTCTTCTGCGCGTAACGGCTGCCGCGAACGGTTGTCTCTAGCGTGGGTCCTCGGCGCGTGGCACCTTGGGCCTGCGCGCCGGGGGGCCCACGTGGTAAGTCAAGCATTGGTGACGCTGCCTTGGATATGTGATTGTGTGTTTGGTGTGTTACTGTGTTATGTTGTTTGTATGGTAGCATGTTAATTACAATTGATGTATCATTCGGTGGACGATATCGTCGTTGTAAATTAGTTAAATAAATGTATGCATGTTGTGTTTGTTTGCCCCGACCGCTTCTACTGTGTCCGTTCATTCCAAGAGCGTGGCGTGTCGCATGCTCGCCGATTCGTTGAGCCCCCACAAACACCACCAAGAGCAATACGTATGTGGCTACTCAGCAGTTCACAAGATGTGCCATGGTGGAGAACAAAGTTGTGCAGAATAAATGAGGCAACTTCTTTCGCTAATGCATTGAAAATACGGTGGTTTTAGCGTATCAGTCAAATTATCTACAAGGACAACACTCTATCAATTTCCAGTTCCAGTAAGGTGGACAGCTTGTAGTGACCATCAGTTGCCAGTGCCACAGTGATTACAGTTTGTAGTGTTTGATTGCCAAGTGACACACTCCAGTAACAATTGAAGTTGGTTTATTCTGGTGACAAACATAGCATAAGCAGGTAAAGTGCTGCCAGAGATTGAACTGTGCATGAGGCGCATGCTGGCCATGGGGCTTTCCAGCTTCTTTCTCCCTTTGGCCAGCATCTCCACCAGTGGTTCCAGACAAAGCCTGGTCAGATACACAGCCTTCACATAACAGTCACCACAATTTGTTCATGCGACCAGTGTAAGTAGTTAAGGAACCAGATGGTGTTTAAAAAATGCTACAAGGTTGAGGAACCAAATGTGATGAAATCCTGACTGCCTTTGGATTGTTGCGTCCAAACAGTCTGTATGGTCACTGGTGCCGAGAGCACAATGCAACCACGCATAGCAATGTTTCTTAAAGGGGCAACACCATCAAGTCTCGAGGTGGTAACAAGCTTCTTGTGGGTTTCCTCTGTGTGCAAGAACACTGCAAACTATTGATCGAACACGGAAAATGTTTAGAACACTATAACATTTTATTTTACTTCCAAAGTGTACCTAAATGCTCATTCCCCTTATCTAAGCACATTGCTAGCATGTCTGACACTGACGTACCTCTGTAGGAAAGGAAACGAAAGTTATAGCGATGTCACACCAGATCCGTAATAATGTGAGGGAGCTCTGGACAGGTATGTACAGGCAAAGCATTGCGACTGTTGCAGCTAGAAGCACATTTGCATTGCAGGTGCTTGTGTGGGACATCTCTGCAAGAGCAGACAATACTCAACATGATGCACGTCAAAGCTTTGTGTGGTCATGCGACTAAGCCACCTTCATGGCTATGTCACTGCCATACACGGTGCCCAGAAACCGAAAATTGCCCAGATAAACAAGACAATGAATCTTGGTGCATTCATCATGCTTCTTGGAGCTGTAAGAAACGCCTGCAGCAAAGAATGCACAAACTCAAATATGGTAGCACCATTCTTTTAAGACAAAAGAATATACTCTAGAAAATAGAGACGCTCTTTTTTTTTTTTTGAATGACTGTGAACACACTGTGCCATCATTGTGCGCTTGACGTGAAATTAGATTTGTTTTCTGAAAGTAACTAGTATGCCACGATTGTTTATGTTACTTCAATACTTTGTTCCCACGTGATTTGCATGATCTGATCTGTGATTGCTCTGTTGACTTTCAGCTGTGATGTCCAGCCTAACTCTTTATTGTTTCATTAAAAAAAGATACACGCCACATTGCAAAAAGGAATAGCATTATGCTATAATTTTGTAAGTGAAACATGCAATACTAAAGCTGTCTAATATGATTCCAAGTCGTTTCCAGCGCTTCTCCAAACTCTCGTTGGGGTTCTCCGCTGTTGTGTTTGCAGTGTCAGAATATTGAAGGCACTGCGTCAGGACTTAACATTGCATTCAGATTCAACAGTGTTCCAGCAAGAGGCACCGGTGGTGTTTATATTCGCCATCTTTGAAGTGCACCTCATAAAGCCCCATGCTCTTCGACACCTCCCATTCCTTTCATCTCAATCCAATAGCTTGCAACTTTTGGAACTTGACATTTCTTCGGAAAAACATGAAAGCTAGTTCCAGCTGTAACAAATGTTCTACCAGCCTACCGCACCGGATTTCGTACTACAAAAAAATAAACTGATCTCAACGATAATCTCATAAAGGCACACCGCTAGGGTTCCATGTCGTCAATTAGAGTACTGATTATAAATCAAATATGCAATTGCAAGCTTTTTCACTCACATATCGTTGTTTAACCAAAGTACACTACACACTCTGAGTCAATTCTACCCAAGTAAAATTTTGTTGCAGTTGCACAGAAAGGAGCAGCACTGACCTTGGCAATGGTATGCACACGGCGCATCATGTTGCGGAACATCTCCTCTTCTTCCTCGGTCAGGGCTGAAATGATTGGCTCCATGCGCCCTGTCTGCAGAGAAGGGAGGCAGAACAAGGACATACATCTGCTGTACCTTGTGCTAGACAGACCAGTTGGTTAAAAGTGATGCATCACACATGAGCTGTTTCGGGCAATTACTAGTAATGCATTACTGATAAACTAGTTACTTTTTTCAGTAACTTGAAACTGTAACTAGTTACTTTAGAGGACCCCTGACAGCTAATGTTTTGTCTGCGACTTTTTACAGTAATTTGTAGCTCTTTGGCTGGTAATGTTCAAATTGAATTGTAAATGCTCTAACGCATTGTATGATTAATGCTAATGCTTTTATTTCAGAACTATTTGGTGTCACATCGAAACGCCTGCCTAAATACCATAAGAAACTACTGCTCCACAGTGGGGCAGCGTGTGAGCCTACATGCATTTAAGCTTTGGTGACACTGAATACGCTGTAGGGGGATCCATGGGCTGTGAAGAATGAAACAATGTGGATGCTTTGAGCATGTCCCTTGAAAAAGAAAAGCATTCCTGGTGTGAGCAGCCAAAACCACTTTGAGAGCAGCTACCAAGGAAGCGAGAGGGGTGACAAACAAAAGTCTTCGCTGGGTACTAGTCGGGGTATTCTGCGCGCCCCGCAAATGTTCAATGATATTAAAAATACTTGCTCGACCTCTGAAACATCACGAGAGGCCTCTGCATACATCAAACCACAGAAAACATCTATCAGACCTGAATACTTAGATAAGCCCATGCCATTACTTCAAAACCAAATTAGAATATTGTATAGGCAATACTTGTCACTAATAGGAGGTCAGAAGTGGCCTAGCATTCAGGAATTTCAAACAACACAAGCATCTTGAGCAGGGGTGGATTATCCAGGGTTCATTAGTTCAAATGAACCGGCCCCTCTAGTTTGAGAAGGCGCCCCCCAAAGGTCAGAAAAAATGGCCGACTTCGTTGTTTTGTTCAAAAAATTTTGACTCTACTGCTGGATTCCCCTTAAAGAAACAGATTATTTATTTCAATAATCAATATACATGCTTCTAAAAAGCTGTTCCCTGCACAATGTGCCTAATTTTGATCCACTCACAATTCTGAAGCCTGTGGTAAAAACCTTTTACTCGCCCAAGACCATGCATTGTGTAGAGAAGGAGCTTATCTAGTGGATTGTCACATAGAGCAGCCTGACAAAGATTTTAGCAGCTACGGTCCCACACTTAAATGAAGGCGCATAAAGAGTGATTTCTGTTTAAAATATAATTTAACACACAAAATGAAAATAACCAGTACGAAGCTGTGGCATAGTTATGCCATAGTATGTTTTCAATATAGTGTTAACAATGCACCATGAAATATTTGTATGCTCTGGAACTTGATTCATATGTGGGGTTTAACGTCCCAAAACCACCATATGATCATGAAAGATGCATGCTCTGGAACTTCCTGATTATGCAAGGACTCCGATAGAGTAATCCCAGACAACACAAAATGTCTGGCACGTGGATGTCCCGAAAACAGTGATCCCACTGGGGGCTGCCGATTTGGAGCAACTTTTGGAGCAGTGAAATTTCAGTTTTGGAGCAGTGAAACTTTAGTTTGGGATTATTTCAAAGCAGGTAATCTTGCAATTAGGGGCACTTTGGAGTAGTAAAAGTTTAGTTTTGGATCGTTTTGGAATAGGTAATCTTGCTATTAGAAGCAATTTAAAGCAGTAAAATTTTAGTTTTGGAGCAGGTAATATTACTAATAGGAGCACTTGGGCATAGCTATATATTCATAATGGAGCACTTTGGAGAAAAAGTGCCTCAAAAACTTTGATATTAAATGGACACTGACCTACAACAAAGGATCGTTTTAGATTGAAAAAGGCTTCGAGAACATTCATGTCGACTTTTTCACCATCTCAGGTTTATTAATTGGGGAGAAAATATTGGTACTAATACATTTATAAATTATTTCTGAATTTCGTGCTGAAATTTCTGCATGTGATACCAAGAATTTTAATGTGTATATTTTTGTTTACTTTAGTGACATTCGCTCTAAGTGATTTCCTGAGACTTAGGTACGTTAAGTTTAGAGTCATGTCAGAAGCCAGTTTACTTTGTTTTTAGTATTAAAGGGCTATGTAGAAACTAGTAAAGAAAACGTCAAAATTTATGAAGTCACGGCAATTGATGCATTAATGCAACTATGTGAAACCATCCAAAATTTCTTTTTGAGTATTTTCTTGCTTACCGAGAGAGTTCTTGTGGCAATCATGGTGATTTTAGAATTATGAAAGCATAATTTACTAATGTTGAATTTCATTTTTTCGAACACACTTATTTCGAACTTCCAGTTAATTAGAACCGACTCTGTGGTCCTATCAAAGCTATGTGCATTCCAATGGGCAAAAACGCACTGTAATTCAAACGCGAAAGCACTTAATTCGGACATACCACACTCCGAAAATGCTCTAAGCACCACGCCCAATCCCACGGCGGCACCTCCAACACATCAAGGCTGTGCGCGAAGAAGGAAAAGAAGAAAAAGAAAGGCTGGGGCGGAATGTTTGCTCTCTCTCAAGTGCATACCTGTCAACCTGGCAACAGAGAAATTCGTCAAACCCCCGAGCAGATGAGAAGGATTACCAACTTTTTTTTTAATTTGTAGCTGTGCTGTGCCTTTAGCGAGAAGCATATTCACCTTTTGCCGTCACTATTTAGTTATTATTACTGTTAATTATTTTCCCTCATTCATGGCACCAAAAAAATATCGTGAAAAACAATGGGGGGGGGGGGGGTCCAAACACAAGCGCTAACATCGACGCTGCGGTCTTATGTTGGCTTGGAGAGTCCGAACACGCAAAGGTAAGGTTTTCCATTAAGGTGAGAGTCTGAAAGGGGAAGCACAAATGCTCCCGGCCGAAATTTCAATATAATTACGTCAGAACAACTCGCGCATGTCTTCCTAGGACACACGTCAATGGACGGGACCGCGCAGCTGGCTGCGGCAAAAGCCCCGGTCAAACCTTTGGCTTCGCTCGCTACTAGATTCTTTGGACAGGAATGGCAAAACGGTTCTAGCCTTCTTACGTTTTTACTGCCTTTCATCCTACCGCTGCGTCAGCCACGAGCCTTCAGAGCTCATAAATCGCCATCGTATTGTCAGGTTCCATTCCTCAAGTTTTGTTATCGCCCCAATACACTACACAATTCTCACCACAGATGTCACGGGCTCATGATGTGGCCGAAGACAGAAGACTTTATGTTGGGATTCAACTGTTTATTTGGGCGAACCTGTGCCTGGTAAACAGAAAGTGTGATAACAGTAGCAGTCTTGCACAGATAGCAGCGAACGGAGCGTCAGCCATCGATCAACTACTGACAAGCGGCGAAGTGCCTCGGCATTTATACTCTTGCCATAGCATGTTCTAGCCTTATCGCTGGCGGTGACGTAGGTTCCAGAATAATCTGTACCAAGCCCCACCATAGGTTTCGACATCATTGATTGATTTGTGGGCTTTAACATCCCAAAACCACCATTTGATTATGAGAGACACAGTAGTGGAGGGCTCCGGAAATTTTGACCACCTGGGGTTTTTCAACGTGCACCCAAATCTGAGTACACGGGCCTACAACATTTCCGCGTCCATCAGAAATGCAGCCACCGCAGCCGAGAAACGAACCCGAGACCTGCGGGTCAGCAGCCGAGTACTTCAGCCACTAGACCACCGCGGCGGGGCGGGGTTTCGGCGTCAATCCCAGACTTCCGAACCATAAGCAAGAACAGCCCAAGGCCCTGCTCCTGCAATACCTAGATTGCTTTTCATCGGCATCAAAAATTCGGCAGACCCCAATCACGAAACATCGCATCTTAACCGAAGAAAATGCCAGACCACTCGGTCAGAGTCCGTACAGGGTTTCGACGAGAGAGCGCAAGGCCATTAAGAGACAAGTTAATGAAATGCTGCGGGATGACATCATCCAGCTGTCTAAGAGTCCATGGGCGTCCCCCGTGGTGTTCGTGAAGAAAAAGGATGGGACCCTACGTTTCTGCGTTGATTATCGCCACCTGAACAAAATCACAAGAAAGGACGTGTATCCTCTCCCACGAATAGACGACGCACTTGATCGGCTCCATAACGCCAAGTATTTTTCGTCAATGGACCTCAAGACTGGCTATTGGCAAATCGAAGTCAACGAAAGAGACCGAGAGAAGAGGGCGTTTGTAATACAGGACGGCCTCTTTGAGTTTAAGGTGATGCCCTTCAGTCTTTGCTTAGTGCCTGCAACTTTTCAACGCGTTATGGATACAGTACTGGCAAGATTTAAGTGGCAGACTTGCCTTGTATACTTGGACGTCGTCGTCATATTTTCCTCGAGTTTCGACAAGCATCTTTGGCGCCTTGAAGCTGTACTTCAAGCCATCAAGACGTTCGGACTCACACTGAAGCCAAAAACGTGCAGATTTGCGTACGAGGAGCTTTTGTTCCTGAAGCACTTGATTAGCAAGTCTGGAGTTTGTCCCGATCCACGGAAAACAGCCGCCATTTTGCCAACTTTCCGCCGCCCACAGACAAGAAGGCGGTGCGCCGATTTCTGGGCCTGTGCACCTATTATAGGCGGTTCGTGAAAAACTTCGCCCGCATCGCTGATCCACTCACTAACCTTACCAAGACCGACATGGAGTTCAAGTAAGAAACGCTGCAGGAACACGCTTTCCAGGAGCTTAAAAATCGCCTCCAGACACCTCCGTTACTTGCCCATTTCGACGAATTCGCCGAGACAGAAATACACACTGACGCAAGCAGCATAAGTCTTGGCACCATTCTTATGCAGAGGGCTGACAGGCTTGAAAGGATTATTAGTTACGCTAGCCAATCGCTATCCAAAGCAGAAACCAATTATTCCACAACAGAAAAGGAGTGCCTCGCCATCATCTGGGCTACGTTGAAATTTTGCCCATACCTTTACGGGAGGCCCTTCAAAGTTGTGAGTGACCACCACGCCTTGTGTTGGCTAGCTACCTTGAAGCTACCCTTCAGGTCG